TACACTGTGTATTTTAAACATGGTCAAATAAGCCCTTTTTTGACCTCTTACTGTAGGTAACTTTGCTGTAAATTTTTCTGAAGAACATATCTCCAAATGTACACCAGTAGGCATGCTAATGTTACACTACATCCTTCCAAGACTGGGCAAAGCTTTGCACACTCGGCTGCCCGTGAGGCATTGACTAACTGCGCTGGTGCAATCAATGGCTGTCATACTGGGATTAAGGCAACAAACACACCTGATGCATAAACAAGCTTTTCATTCAGAGTCCACCCTCCTGGTTACTTTACCCTTGGGGTGGTGGCTACGCCTGCGTGCACACACCCATCAGCAACCCTCCCTTAAGCCTCTGCTGCACTGCATCCTAAAGGATTTGATGTTTATCCTTCCAGGCAGTGGACAACGATCTTTACTTTATGTCATCTGTGATCACATGTGGTACGGTTCTCCACATCTGTCATGCAGCAGGTGAGGTCATGAATGATGAGGAGTCCAGGGAGGAGACTGCTCTTAGTGGAGCCAAATGAAGTCAGTGGAACATAATGGAGCACTGCATAAGCACTGCTAGGACTGCTGGGAGTTGAGTACCTGTATACCTGCAGCGCTACATAATCCAGTTGTGTGTGTGTGGGTGTGTGTGTGTGTGTGTGTGTGTGTGTGTATACCTACCTTACAGGTGCCAGACATCAGCGTTGGCTGTCACCACTTTAAAAATGTTTGTGTGGGTGTCACTGATAAAACTTTACACCTCTGTCTATTGTATAAATCTCCATGGCAATGACATACAGGAATGAGTTAGCGAGGGCACTTGTCCATGTGTGTGTGTGTGTGAAAGGGAGTGAGTGTGTGTTTCAACAAACAGGCAGAGACAGATGCTTGACAGAACAGAGTTGGACCCTGGGGCCAAAACAAGCCAACTAAGGATGAGGCCCACACACACGCACATGTGCGTGCACACACACATGCACAGGCTGACTTCATAGCTATGCAAATGTAGACCTCGACATGCCACAGTGCTCTTCATCGAGTATGTTACACTGTTATTAAAGTTCAAAATGTACAAGACTTAGTTTCCGAAACAGGATCAATAAAAGGTTAGAATACTGCATGATTATTTATAATGCTCACACACATCAGACCATATGAGATTTAATACAGAGATTATTGATACAGTTGATTTTTGTCAGCCAACAAACTGATGAGACAAAGACTAAAACCTTGTCTAGTTTACTAGAATTCCTTTATTGTACCATCGGGTGCACTTTATTTGCTGTAGTAAACCAACATGGCTGCTAGAACAAATACTTAAAAAATGCACACATTATTAGTTTCTTTCAAACTGTATATATGATTTACTATGATGTAGCAAAAAGTTGGTCTTCCAAGCAGGAAGAAACACAACTTTTGTGTTCACAAGGACATACAATCCAAGTAAACAAAACAAAACAACATTTTTTGTTAAAGGATTGGTAAACAAGTATTTAAAAAAATAATAAAAGTAAAGCACAGTTTCTCCTTGATGTTTGAAATAGTAGTTGTGTCGTTACTGTTCTAGCTTTCCACCATATCTTGTGACAAAGACTAAAAGATGCGGTGAAATTGAGAAACAGAGCAGAACAAGCAGCGTTCAATATGTGTTTTGGCATATGCAGGGTGAAATTAATATATACCAAAGGTGCAGGTGGACCCATGTGAGCTTGAAATGATGACCCTCATTTCCCTCAAAAGAAAAAAAAAAAGGAATAAATTAGGCATAAATAAGGGGGATTCCAGGTCCAAATCCGGTCTCTCACACACACACACACACACACACACAATCTGTGCCTAAAGCTCACCTGTTGAACCTACAGTAACCTGTCAGAAATACATAATACATAATAAAAGTCAATCCAGGTAAGCTCTGCCATTTAACTGCAGGCAGCGAAACATAGAGCAAAGAGAGAGAGAGATAGAGAGAGAGAGGAAGCAAACTAACAGGCGAGAGAAAGAGAATATCTACAATCAGACATTCCAACACAAAACAGTCGACAAGCCAACACACATTCTGCAAAGTGAAGGCGCAGCATGTTGCTCTATGAATGATTATTCATGCCAGCCTCTCCATCACACTCAAAAGTCATGAAATGAACAACGGTTTCATTCTCTCTCGGTCTCCTCTTCTCTTCTCTTCTTTTCTCTCTCTCTCTCTCCTCTCACAAACACACACACACACACACACACACACACACACACCCATGTTCACACTGATTTCATTGGGAAGTAAAATTGAATTTCCATGGACAGATTTAATAAAATATCTTTGCCTCAGTCTACCTGTGTTGATGTAATCTACAATATTCAATCCAGGTAACCTTTCCTTATGTGTTCTATTGCAGGGGTACCAACCCATGGCATAACGTGGTATTTTTGGATCCTCCACACATACAATAACTGTGAGCTTCACATAACACATTTGTATCACACAATAAGACGGGGTGATATGGGTAAAATCCTCTTTCATGGCATATCCAATTTCATATCACAATATCAATATTTCACATATCGTCACATTTCTGAAATGTAAAAGTTCTGTTTATAGATAACTAATACTTTGATACTTTGATTGATGTGTGACAATAAAACTTGATTTGATTATTAAAGTTATTTATAAAGCAATAATGCCAAACATTTATTGCCTACTTATGGGAAGTCATGATAGGCACTATTTTTTGGGCTAAACACACATTGATTGTTTAGAAAATAATTATTAATATATAATGAATAACTAAAACACTTGTAAAGCTTTAACAACTAAACTAAATAATTCACTCTTCCTACGCTCCTCCTTTTATTTGTTCATGTGAATGCATGTTAGTGGGTTTGTGTGTGTGTGTGTGTGTGCACAGTGTTTAGGAGGGTGTACCAATAAATCACGTTAAATTCTCTCAAGGGTTTAGCTGTCACACACAGAGTTTTATACATACACACACACGCACACAGACGCTGCAGGCGGACATGACCCTGTATGTAAGGTTGTGCTGGTAGACCTCTCAGGCACATCTGCTCTTGCCATCTCAGAAACATGCAAACACACAGATTTCATTCTTTACTCTGGAAAGACAGAAAGAGGGTGGAGAAAATAGACAAAAGAGAAGAAGACATTTCAGTTCGGGCAACCTTGATAAACATTAAACCACCTTGTTAAGAGAAAAAACCTTCTGATTATTTGTGCAGGTGTGCATACAGGCTTTTGCTGCCTGTGTGTTAAATCCCATGGATGCAGGGAAATGTATCTGCTTTGTGTTACAACTCCTGAGCCTCTCTCTGCCATGTGTGCAAACTATGATTTCTCTCTCATTTTATCATCTGGAGAATCTCCATCAGCCTCTTTTTTTTATTGAGCAGGTGTTCAAAATAAACACAGTTCCACACAGGTGACTCTTTCATTCTGTATTGAATTCATGTTCAGGTTGATTATAACTTAACCGGCAGAGACACGTTAATCTGCCTCACACTAGATGCTGTCGAATTCAACTGATTGACACAATAATCCTTTGACAACAGCTCAAAGGTAAATGTGATTCACATTTAAATCCATGACTGGACACTGCCAGCGCTAATCAGATTCTTCACTTGTACTGTGTTTTTAATGCTGTCAATCACAACCCAAACATTCAGTCTGAAAAAGGATTTTAGAATTAAACCCATCTTTGTGTATTTTGTGTAAGGGTGTGTCAGCTGATTTGGTTTTAGGTGTTTTGAAAAAAGCAGGCTGACTCTGCTGACTTATTTTTGGTTGATCTGTTAATAATAATAACTTTATTTATAGCGCACCTTTCAAAACAAAGTGCTTTACAAAGTCACGACAAATGAAGTAAGAGAATATTCAAGTACAAAATCACCATCATCAAGGTAAGATAAGATAAGATGTTTACCTTTATTGATACCCCTCAGGAGAAATTCACAACAAGTAAGTATAACAAATATACACAAATATGTAAAAAAAATACACATAAAAGAACAGTTTAAATCAGAAACAGAAAAATAAATTAAGAAAGGGTCAGATGGTTATATTCAGTCTTGATAGATGATTTTAAAAAAGGCCAGTGAATGTTTTTGTCTAATTTCGTGAGGTAGGCTATTCTAAAGATCCTTAAAGCAAAGAGCTATGACTCAATTTCTAACATAGATTTATTTATCAGTTTATATTATTTTATTTACCCTCTTCTTCCCCTTTATTTATCTGTATTAATTTGAGAATTTAATTAGAGAAATAAAGTGCTGCATATATGTTGTGTCATATAGGTTGAAGCTTTTTTTCACTGTTACTCTCCAGATTAATGTCAGAGCAGCTGCCTTTGAGAAGTTTTATTTATTTATTTTCAATTTTTTTGTTGAATGGTAAAAGAGTACGACGGAGTATTAGGGCCATACTAAGAACATTTTTTAATTTTTTGGAAATTACGAGAATAAAGTCGTAATAATACGAGAATAATGGTAATCAGCCCTTAATGAAAGACACAGAAGCTTCAATAGGATTGTTACTTAAAGAATCTGATGTGACCAGCTCAACCAAACAGCAGCCTTTCTCCTTAAACAGTTTTGATGGCTGAGCCAACAGGCTGTCAGTTCTCATAAAATTACGACTTTATTCTCATAAAATTACGACTTTATTCTCGTAATATTACGACTTTATTCTCGTAATGTTACTTTATTCTCGCAATAT